GACTTCTCCTTCACATGGTCAAACATAGTTATGAATCCTCCGACTGCCATTAGGGAGCATGTGCACAACCCCTTTGGATGTGGGAGAAGGTACTGCTGGATATGGAGGTGGGTGAAGTGTCTCCTATTAAGGAGTGAAGTGAGTGGGGGAGCTTCTCAACACATGCAGTGTGGATGTGAGCTGTTGAAAGCTGCAAAAGCTACCGAGTCAGCCTTGCTGGGAGCTGTGGCTGGGGGAAGGATCGAGAGGGGTTTGGGAAAATGTTTGTTTTAAGGTTCCTGGATTTTTAAACACAAAAATTGCTGTAGTTCTGGGCAGAAGCATCAAAGCAAGGGACAGAGGTGGGTGTGGGACTTGTTAAAGGCCATTTAGAAAATAGTCACACCCACATCTAGGAGCCTTTTTTGTTTGGTTTGTAAACCATAATTCAGCTGTATTAGAGAGGGTCAAAGCTCATTGCAGAGGCATTCAAAGCGCACAGTGGTTGGAGTCTCTTTTCTGCTACTGCAGAAGGATGGAGAAGGAGGAGGCATTGGTGGGGTGCAGGAGTAGGCTTGCTCTGGGATACAGGTGAGAGAGGTTCATGTAGGTCTACCCAGCTGCATTCTGCAGGAAAATGAGGATGGCAGGATGGTGCAAAAAGACAATTATTCTTATTAAAGATCCGTATCACCCGCAGATTACACCAAAATGGGAGGTCCTTTTGCACTGAGCTTGTCATGAATGAGAGAATAGGTTTCGAGTGGATTATGATTTTAGGGTGTGAAAAGATTTAGGATGCAGACTAGAAAGACTGATAATGTGTTTGTAATCCTGCCTCGGGTTGCAGAGGGGAGGAAACCTGGGCACTTTAGAAAAGAATCTGTTGGTCTTGAGGAGAAAGCCGATGTCTTGATTCACTGAATCAACAGGAATGGATTCCACAGGACGTGGGAAGGGACCTTTCCTCTTTGCCATGAAGTTGTAAGAAAATGGTGTGCGTAGTTCTGTGCACCACATTTCAGAGGCAGACTGTCAATGTGCAGAAGGGAACAGCGAGAACGATCAGGGCTCTTGAAAATGTGTGACCTGCGAGAAATGACTGAATAATTTAGAGGTTTTCAAGCCTGGAGAAGTTGAAGGGAGATGTGAAAATGTTCTTTTAAAAATACAGATTTTATGTAGCAAGAAATAATCTGTTTCATGTGATGGATGGGACAGAAAATAACAGGTTTAAATTGCAGCAGAGGTTTAGGGTAAAACAGAAGAAAAGTCTTCTGATGTCCTAAAGTCTTCTGATGTCCTAAAGTCTTCAGAATTCCTTCTGTGTTTTTTTTTTTTTTCCTTTGGGGGAGGGGAGGAGCAGGGGGGCTTGCTTGTTTAGTTTTGTTTTTGCATTTTTTTTATGCTTCTCTACTAATATCGTGTGTGTGACTTGTACACTAGAGAGGAATTGTTTGGTAAGGCTGTACATATCTGGAGCCTATGAAACACAAAAATGTTAACTGAAAATATCTTTTAAAACAACCGTTGAGCTGTTTTAATAGGATCATAGTTGTATCTATTAGGATAGAGGGCAAACAATGAAAATATAATAGAAAAAAAATGAAAGAATAACCTGATGTATATCATTTTCACTGTTCCTTAATGTGCTGCCTTTTGATCAGAAGAAAATAAGAGTTTGAAGCTAAGGACAAGACAAAGTCTTGAAAGTTGAGCCTGGGATAACTAAATCCTCAGGAGTATTTTGGCTGAGGGAGGAACAGAGAAGGAAGAAATGGTCATTTCCTTTAAAGAACTGCCTGTTGGACACTGTGTCTTTTCCCTTGTCAGACAGAAGTAGTAGGAAGCAGTTGGAGCTCATTGAGAAAACGAGGTGTGTGAAAGGGGAGATCTGCAGGGTGCTCACTTGACTGCTCTAAGAATAAAGATGAAAGAATGGCATACTGGGAGGCTAAAAGACAAATAGAAGAGAAAAGCTCAAAACTGATACCTGCCCGTCTGTGCATGTAGTTTAAGAGCAAAATAGATGTCTGTGGAACATATGTGAAACCTGGAGAGTTTAGGATATGCTCAGAATATTGTTCGTTGACATGAATGATTCATTCCCGTTGATGGGCTGGGGAGTATGCGCAAGCACAACACCCATTCAGGTAAGTCAACTAGAAAAAAGCAGTAGGAAAGAAAAAAGTTAAAGGCAAAAAGATGCATTGAGGAAAAAGAAATTTGAAGCATCTAGATTTAAGATGATGAAGAATATTTTTTTAAAAAAGGTGGAAAAAATGTGCAACACGACTGCCAAATAGTGAGATCACCTTGTAGAAACTGTATCGCGTGTCAGGATCCCATATTCTCCTAAATTACATAGTACTGGGTGCACCAAATGGGGATTGGGATTACTCATGTGAAGTTTTAGTTTGGGTAGTGTCAGTTTTTCTAGTAGACTGGGTCCAAACCTGCTGCCGGCCTGATAGTTTCTAATTTTGCAGTGACCTGTCAGTCTAATAGTGAATTTCCCAAGGGTTCCTGGGAAGGAGGGAGCACAGGAATGTGACAGTCTGCCTCACTTCTGTCAGAAGTACAAAAGACAGCTGAGCATGAGTGTGCCTCAGTACCTGTCAGTCATTGTCAACCCCCAGAAGTGGAAGGGGCCTGTATCCTTTAACCAGGTTGGTAGTTTCCACATCAGTGTACTGGCCGGAGCTTTGTGGCTTACTGTCCTTGGGGATTTCAGCATATATCCCAGCAGGAGCTTTGCTGGTCCAACTCTTTAGTTCTTTGAAATGATGATCTCCCTGCGTTTTGCACAGCATGAGCACTCCTTTTGGGACACTCAGGAAGTACATCTGGAGAGTTTGGTGTATGTTCTCCCTCGTGCCGGAGCTGATTTGGCTCGCTCAGGTCCTCAAGTTATTTATTTAGCCCGTTTTAGTGCAGAAGCTACCTCATGTCCACAGCAATCTGAGGAATCTTGGGGTGAGCATTTGATGTGGTTTCACTGATTGTTAAAAGACTAGTTAGAAAGCAGGTACCCAAGATGTCCAGCAGCTTGTCAGAAGGTGGAATTAAGGCAACCTCCAGGCACGTGGTCCCTAACCATATCATGATTTTATAGCGAGTTTTGTGTCTTACAAAATGTTGAATCACGGGCTGCAAAAAGGTTGTGCTGAGACTCAGATCTCTTCTAACTTCCAATACGGATTTTAATTGTGTGAACAAGACTTGTTCTTCCCTCAGTCAACTGATGTCTCCTCAGCCCAAACAGCTCAAAGGGAGAGTGCAGGAGAGCACCTACAGTTACTGTGCTGCAATGTGATCAGCCTGTGCCCCTCTGCCCCAGGAGGCACGCGCGCGGTTCGATTGTAACAGTGAAGATACAGTGCAGTTTCAAAAGACAGGCCAGTCCTGGATTGCCGGAGCTCACCACGGCCTTCCCCTGTGGATCTGATCCCTATTTGCATTGTTTCCTTAAGGCAAGTATGGCCTGAGTAGTGCCTTCGTTGGCAGCCGTGGCTACGTGCTGGGAGCCTGCCAAGATTAATATACAAAACATTCCCTTCTGCCTCCCGCCTTCAAAAAAGTAACTGACATCAAAGTGCTGTTCAGTTACTACTCTGTCAAAACCGTTGTGTTGTCAGAGGTATTAAGGCAGCCATGGTTATTTAGTGATGTACAAAGATGTACATTTCATCGTATTTTTGGAAATGATACAGATGTGTTTATTTGAAAATGACTGAGTAATTTTCTTTGTGTTGGTAAATAATCTGCAGAGAACATATGTAGCAATTCATTCTTTGTTCCATTAATTATGCCATTTGCCTTTAGTCTATGTTGCCAGGTTTTCAGCCCCTATTAGTAAAAAGTAAAGTAAAATAAAGCCTGAAACCCATGCAGGTAAAGATAATTTCTTTAGTTTTTTTTTCAAATGGAGAGGTGACTTTTTTTTTTTTTTGAAAGAACGAATTGATCGAATTTGTCCAATACAATATCATAGGATAACCTAGAGCACTGTAAAAACTGTAAATACTTCACTGAGAAAAAAAAACATGTTTATTTGCAATAGCTGTGTAAAGTTTTCATCATCACTTTAGTTGTTGGCATTGAAATAAAATAACATTTTTAGACATTCACCATCATTTCAAATAGGATATTGAAATAATATAGGTAAAATTAATGAGGAAAATTTACAGTGTCATTTGATATCTCTGAATTACTGTTGATGAATTTAAATATTTGAACCTATCTCCGTTTGTGGATGGGAGACTGACAATAGTTAGTAAAATATTTGAACCTATCTCCGTTTGTCTGTGGATGGGAGACTGACAATAGTTAGTCTCAAAACTAAATATGTGCAAAAAAAAAAAAAAGAGTTTACCAGCACAAATATTATTTTGTCATCTGTAAAAGTGTTCCTTTTCAAAGAAATCCTTCTTCATTTTTGCCAAGTCACATTTTTTTCAGTCTTTTCACCACTACATTGGAGGCTCAGACTTTCTCAGGAATGTGAACTCTACCTTCATTGCTCATTTGAGTTACGGAATATGATTCTCAACATCAGAAATTGCTCTGTAGGATTTTGTCACTTCACCTAGTGACTTTCCTAGTGAATGGAAAAAACATTGTTTTCGTTTAATGTTTTCATATTATTAGAATCACTGTTTGTTGCTTGACTGCTTTCCTGTTCTGGTGAAGTGGCAAAATCCTGCAGAGCAAATTTTGATGTTGAAAATCATATTCCATAACTCATTTAGAACTTAAGTTAGTGTAAGAGCCTGTCAGAGATTGTGTAATGTGTGAAATAGAAATGAATCTGGATATTAAGGTCATGCCGAGCAAAAAGGAAGCATCCTTCTTTCTCACCCTAGGCATCTCCTACGGATGGACAAATGTAAAGATTTGGGATATGTCTCATGACAAAAAAATACACATTTTTCCTAAAGAATATTTGAATTCTCGACTCTCCAAAAGCACAGTTTATTCTATTGTTTACTCCTCTAATCTGAGCTGAATTTATTTTGTAGCTATCCCTTGAACAACAGTGACCTGCATCCGTTCAACATTGAGGAGAACGGTGGAGCGCCGTACACCACGAAAATGCCTGCAAGGCACCACCACCACCACCGTCACCACCACCACCACCCCAACTATGGCGCCCTTGCTCCTGACAGCAAAGAGCTGGTTTCTGGAGTTCCCAATCCAAACAGTAAGTGTAGCGCAGAGAATGTCGTTTCAGTAATCGTGCTGCTTTCACATCTGCCTTAGGCAAGGAGCTAAAGGAAAGGAAACATTGGGAATTTCTTTTTTTTTTCTTAGTGCAGAACATACATACTATTTTTTCTAGTTCTGTAGTATATACAAATGAACCGAATTTTACAATTTCCTGTCTTTGCTGTGGCGTTGTGGGGTTTGGCGTTGGGTTTGTGTTCCACAGTTGAACAAGTACCTGATTAGTCACAGCTACTGAGTATCCAGCTACTTGGCACCGACTATTTTTCATGGTTAGCATCTGTTTGTATAATACTGCAATTGCTTGCCATCGGCTTTTGCTGACGTGCCCACCTGGCCTTCAGCCCTCGTGTTTGGATCTGACTGTGGCTTTCTTGGTGTCTGAGCACAGATGGCAGAAGCTATGGAGCGCTGGACAAGCAGCATCTTGCCGTCCATCTTGGCACACAGGTCCAAAGCTACAAAGGAGGAGTAGCTGAAGGCAACTTAGACCAAGGTTGGTGTCTGGTCCAGTATGGGCAGTCTCTTTCAGATCTTTAAGAAAACTTCCCCAGATTCACTATATTTTAATAAGAGGAGCAAAAGATGCATCATCATCTGCAAACTCTCCTGGATTTCAGGGCTCAGCTCAAGGATTAAAAGCTCAGGAGCACCTGAAAAGCAATGTTAAAAAATGTTTAATATTGGAAAAAAGACATGAAGAGATTTTTATTAGAAGCATTGCTTTCATCTCTAGAGGCCTGATGCCTTTTATGCTGGTACTCTTTGTCAGGCAGTGTTTTTCTGCACGCTCCCTGACAAAGGGTTTGCTTTTCTGTGCTGGTTTGGTCGCCGTATTTGGCACCACCTTAGCTCACAGGAGTGGCAATGATTTTTGCTCAGCCTCCGCCACTGCAATTGGAGAGGACTCAGTTGCTCTGTGCAAAAATCCTTGGCATGTAGGAAGCAAAGAGGAGAGAGGCCTACTTGTTTGTGATACAGACTTGGGAAGACTGGGCGTAAGGCTCTGCGGCTGAGCATCCATAGACTTTTTAAAAGGTGCATAGTTTGGCTAAATATTAGAATGTTTGCATAGGACCTGAAAGAGAATTGTCCCTGATGTTGAGCAATCCTGTCCCTTGTTTGCAAGATTTAAAAAATCTCCACTGCAATGCATGAGATGCTGAGTCTGCACAAGAAGTTCCTAACATGGGCAAAACAAGGGATCATCTAATTTCCTTGCCTCAAAGGGATGATCATTTATTGTTGTCAAGTTTCCGGTTTTATAATTGTAAATCACCCCAAGATAACCATCCATTATGGAAGCTTTCAGCCTGGGTAGTTAGTCTGACAGCTTTCAAATTCCAGAAACCAGGATTTTGTAATGGAAAGCACTGTGCAATCTTGACTGTAGGCTGTCCTACCTCAGTAACGCAGAAGCCTTATTTTAAATTTTCTTTCCCAAAGAGAGGGAGGGAGCAGTTTTAAGAAAGGAAATTCAAGAAACAAATTGCAAGGCAGCATAGATTTTTAAATAAGGACTCCTAAGAAACAAAATAAATTGTTTCCTGGGGCATTAAATGAAATTATTCCCTTAGGAATGACCTCCAGTCAATCTGATGCTCTCCCCTGTGTTTAATTTATTGCACGCTCTAGGTTAGCCTATTTCATGTGTAGCAACAGCATGCTGTGAAGTCTGGAGCGATGAAGGAGGAGGACCACAAGCACAGAGACCCAGGGCACAGTGCTGCCAGAGGAGGCCCGTGTTGTTTTCTTGCATCGCTCACAAGGATTCACACACTTGCCAGTCTTAAACACCAGCACGGGACAGGGGCAGGCCACAGGATTCCCCATTTGGTAGCTGCTGGCAGACTTACTCTGGCTGTTCACGTGCAAAATCAAAGACTAGACCCATATTTGAAAAGAAAGCCAGTTTGTTCAAATGCAAAAAAATAAAAAAAATAAAAAAAAAGGTGTTCATCCCCTGGGCTGCACAGGACAGCAAATCACTGAAAAGGGAAGAAATTGCTGTTCCCTTTGCCTCTGTGGCGCCAGACGCATTATCCCACGGCTCTGGTGCCTGCCTGGGTCACTGGGGAGGGAAGCTGGGCCACGTTATGTGACACCGGTGACGGGATTGCCTGTGGGAGGCAGCAGAACAGGCTGCTGCCTGCTTGGCAAACGGGAGCTGGGGAGCCCTGACCAGGCCGCCAGCATGGGACAGGAGCAGTCGGTGACCTCCGGCATGGCCGGCTGGCCTGTGTTTGTCCTTCACGAATCAGAGGTGAAGCTTTCCAGCAGAAATGGCTCTGGCCAGTTGCTGCTGCTGAGCCTTCAGGAAGGAGCAGGCTTTGCTCTCCTTGAGCCGTGGGCAGGTTGGAGCTGGGGAGTCCTTTCCTTCAGGAACGGCTGTGTCAGGAGACCTGGCTGTTGGCAGCAGGCTGCAACAAGACCCGCTATGGCAAGAGACCGATGGGCAGGCCGAGTTACAGATGGGGCAGCTGAAACAGGGCTCCTGGGGTGAACAAACAGCCTGAGTTAGTGTTACGTAAAGCTGGAAGTAAGAACTGCAAGGCTGCTATGAGAGGTCCCTCTGGTCACCTCAGGATAGCACTATCCATAGGCAGAAGTATAAAAAGAAAAATACTTGTACCTCTGAAATACAGTGTACCTATAGGTGAACATTCTGGGGATCAGAAGATGATTAAAGAGGCAACAGTAAAAAAAA